CTCTCTCTCCCTCTCTCTATCTCTCTCTTTCTCTCTCTCTCTCTCTATCTCTCACCCCCCAGATGGAGGTACAAAGCATCACCCTGAGCCCAGGAGACAGGTGTGAGCAGTGCGGTGACCGATGTCCTCTCCACTACCAGTGTGCACCCTATGACCTCCTCCCTACAATCCGCTCCTCGTTCTTCTGTCAGGAAAAGATATCGGCCGGGGTATGTGATCGTCTCACTGCACTTTCTATCCATTCTCTCTATCCATCAGCACTTTCTCTCTATCCATCAGCACTTTCTCTCTATCTATGCATTAGCACTTTCTCTCTATCCATCAGCACTTGCACCTTCTCTCTATCCATCAGCACTTTCTCTTTATCCATCAGCACTTTCTCTCTATCTATGCATTAGCACTTTCTCTCTATCTATTCATCAGCACTTTCTCTTAATCCATCAGCACTTTCTCTCTATCCATCAGTACTTTCTCTCTATCCATCAGCACTTTCTCTTTATCTATGCATTAGCACTTTCTCTCTCTCTATCCATCAGCACTTTCTCTCTATCCATCAGCACTTTCTCTTTATCTATGCATCAGCACTTTCTCTCTATCCATTCATCAGCTTTTTTTTATCTATCCATCCATCAGCACTTTCTCTCTATCCATCCATCAGCCCTTTCTCTCTATCTATCCATCAGCCCTTTCTCTCTATCTAGCCATGAGCACTTTCTCTCTATCCATCAGCACTTTCTCTCTATCTATCCATCAACATTTTCTCTCTATCTATCCATCAGCACTTTTTCTCTATCCATCCATCAGCACTTTCTCTCTATCCATCAGCACTTTCTCTCTATCCATCAGCACTTCTCTCTATCCTTCAGCACTTTCTCTCTATCCATCAACACTTTCTCTCTGTCCATCCATCAGCACTTTCTCTCAGTCTATCCATCAGCACCTTCTCTCTATCCATCAGCACTTTCTCTCTATCCATCCATCAGCACTTTCTCTCTATCCATCAGCACTTTCACTCAATCTACCCATCAGCACTTTCTCTCTATCCTTCAACACTTTCTCTCTATCCTTCAACACTTTCTCTCTATCCATCCATCAGCACTTTCTCTCTATCCATCCATCAGCACTTTCTCTCTATCCATCAGCACTTTCACTCAATCTACCCATCAGCACTTTCTCTCTATCCTTCAACACTTTCTCTCTATCCTTCAACACTTTCTCTCTATCCATCCATCAGCACTTTCTCTCTATCCATCCATCAGCACTTTCTCTCTATCTATCCATCCATCAGTACTTTCTCTCTATCCATCCATAGCACTTTCTCTCTATCCATCAGCACTTTCTCTCTATGCATCCATCAGCACTTTCTCTCTATCCATCAGCACTTTCTCTCTATGCATCCATCAGCACTTTCTCTCTATCCATCAGCACTTCCTAATGCTTTCTTACTTCTTTCTATCTTCGATCTCTGAGATTGTTTCCCATGTTGGTTTGTGTGTTTGTGTCTTTAGGTTTGTTTGTCTGCCTGTTTTTCTCTCTGCCTCCCTCCTTCTCTGTTTGTTTGTCTTTATGTCTCTGTCTATCTTCTATCTCTAAGATCGTTTCGTTTGTCTATGACTTTGTTTCTTTATTTGTTTGTTCCCCAACCTCCCCCATCTTCAACCTCCAACTCCTATCCCCCCTCCCCCTCTCTCCCCACCTACCCCTCACCCT